ATGGCTTGTTAATTTAAGCTTTGGTGATTAATACCGATGCTTTGTGTTGCCACCCTCCTTGAAGGCACAAAACACCTGGATGGCATATTGTATGTTTAATTAAACATTAATACCAATGTATAAAAATGTTATTTATTTTATTCTGGCAAAATTCTTCCACTATCGATCGTACAGGTTTATTTTCCTTGGAGCCCAACCTATTTCCACAATATTCAAGATCGTTATGTATAGAATATGAACCCCGTTAGCTGTATCCCTACGTGAACTGGTAGTTATTTTACGGATTATAAGGAGAATTGAGAAAATCCTACAAAATGACAGGGTGTATTTAATATCAACATAATCTGTAATCACAAGTTAATATTGCATCCAATTCTCCCACAGAATGGTGAGAAAGTTCAGACACGTAAAAATTTATAAGCTGGATATTTGCGGAAAGAAATTAATAAAAAATGACGATTTAATTTTTGGATATGTTTTTAATTTTTTTGGTTAGCATGCTGAACTTTATGTGAATGTAAAATGCAAAGTAGACTACCAATACACGTTAACCATAATCACCAAAATGCATTATTGTTGTTGACTACTCTCATTATTTAAAGATAAAATATGTTTCCCCAGTTACAAACAACAACTTGGACGCCCTGGGAACAGCAAGACATAACGTCATGCCTTAAGTATGAATAGAAAAGGATTTAAGCCCATTCAGCGACAAGAAAATTGCATGTTTCCTCTCGTCCTGGAGAAAAATTGCATTTAGTAAAACAACATTTATTGGATTTATGGCAGTGAAGATATATTATTACATTGCAATCTATAATCCCAAGCAGTTTAAAGGGGAAGCATTTACTTATCTTTATGCGTCAAAACTATTGTGTTGTAAATCCAGTGTAATCGGTATGTTATGCTTCCCAACATAGCAAACTGTGTGGTCCTGCTCATTATGGCCATAAACGTGTCACGAATAAACATTTTTGCTATGTTCTGATTTCATACTTCCGCATATAAATGTAGGTTACTGTGGGAAAACTTGAAACTGTATACCATTATCATTTTTTGTCGAGAATGTTTTTACAAACAATTCGACTGAAAGAAATCGGCTATGTGCTTGTGTTATTTCAAGAGAAGGTGAAGAAAAAATTTCTCTAAATTGAGATATATTTACTCAGCTTGCAGATTTCATCAAGCCTTCCCTCATGATTTTCGAAATTTGCATAGATGACTGAGATTAGAATCTATTGGGGATAGAATAATATTTTAAATACTGTCAAAAATATGTAGATATTTTAGATGCTTTTCCATGTCGGAAGAAATAAAAATATCTCAACCTAATTTTTGTTGAGACCTTGGCAACAAAATATTTCCACAGTTTTCTTATTTTTGTGATTCATCTGATATTTTGCCTTTCAAGTCGGAGATATTAATCACGACACAAAATATTATACATTCCTCACATCGGAATATTTCTACGTTCAACTAATCATGGTTTGTAGATATTTCATATGTTGAATGCATGTCCTTGGCGTGGCCCAAAGTTAAAGTCGTTTTGTAACATCATAAACTAAATATCCGACGTTTCGTTATTACATCTGGGGCATCGAACCACTCCCGCGTCTTTAATCTTAAATATTACCTTTTATTTGTTAATTTATCGTGTGAATTGAAATATTGGTTTATATTGAGGTAAACAGTACATAAGAACACTGTCAAATGATCAAAGAAAAACATTCGCAATGGTTGGATAGCGGTACGCTTTGTAAAAGTAAAAATGAATTCGCCATTTTATAATTCTTGAGCTATGTTCTGAGTTAATCGTATGGCTACGACAAAATACTAGTTAGTCAGTCCATTTCGGAGTTCCTTGAAATGTGTACGAAAGATGTATTGTTCTATTTGTTTAATAATTCGACCACCAGCAATTCTATTTTGAATATAATAAAAACTGCTCTTTTATCATAGTAACTAACAATAATGCCTTTTGAAACTTTAAAATTAACTGCTTTCTGGATACAAATTTGTGTGATATAGATCTCTGTACATAAAAAAAATCTCTCATTTTTGTGCAAAATGCAATATGAATACCGCATGTAAAAATGCATTTTTAGTTAATGAAAAGATTTCTGGACACTTTGACGATATTGTTGTTCATCCATTCTGGCATTTTATTTGGGATTTGGGGAACCAAAACCAATGAAGTCGAATCGATAAAATTTCACGGTGGAATGAAATAACTACGTCCGTAACTTGAGATGAGCGACGCCGAATAGAACGTGATAAAAATAAAATTCTGCTGAAATTATGTTTCCGGGCAATTTCTGCAAATTTATGATTGATAAACGCCTTTTTCTGGTATATTACGCTATCTTAAAATATTGTAAAAACTACGAGTTTCTGACAACATGCAATATTGCGTTACTATCTTCTAACAAGTATGGGACGATTATAAAGTACCACAAGATACGGTGTATAACTGGTGTCCAAGCTAGGTAAAGCATTAATGACAAAATCCTATTTTTTAATTTTATATTATTTCAATATTTTCCCCAGTGTTAGATATAATTATAATCTTCATATCTGCGCAACGACCTGCGTTTTTATTTATTTTGCCAATATACTTTTGTTGGAAGTTGTTGCCAAACTATGATACAATATTTAGTAAACTGGGTAACAGTAGTATCAGCAAATAGTATTATCTTTTTACACTGTTGAAAATTATAATTAATTTAGTTCAATGATACCAAAGATAGTTCAATTTGTGGATTTTTAAACAATATTTAGGTTTTCTTGTATATTTGCAATTATCTAATTCAGTGAAATGATTTTAGACCCAATAATTGATTTTTCTCTAGTTTTACAAAGAACAAATAAAAAAAAACGCTAACAATTTTACTGAATACTGCTGCATATTGCTATTCTATTTAAAAATATTCTTAATATAAAGGTAACTTAGTATCACAGATAATTGTGTAACTCGGATACCTTATGTCGAAATTACATTATAAATCAAACAGAAACATTTTCTATGTTCTTTATGTTTAGGGTAATATTGCTCACATTATATAATTCATGTACATAGTTTTATTTGTAATGTTTTAATTAAATTATGAAACTAAATAAGTGTTACGGAGAAACAGGTATTGGAGTCCTACCCCCTGAAAAATTAACGTTCGCCACATATGGTTGTAGAAAATACTGTGATAAATCTCTTCTATACGACTGCGCAAGCTTTGCGCTTCATGGAAACTATAAATATAGGCGCACCTTCAGGCACGTAATCCTATTAAACTTCAAACTCAAAAATTGAATATAACTTTGTTTATGGAATACTGTAAAGGTGAGTTTTTGCGTAGTTTTTGTTACTCCAGTGGAGACAACCAACAACCATATCTGAGTACTATAACCTGACCATCCGTTTTCACAATATTTATTTCAATACAAAATGGCGTACGTTCTAATAAAACGATTTCTTTCAACAGAGTGCAACATTATTCAGATGGACATCTTGTGTTATCATAGGAAATCACCATAAAGTAACACGTAGTGTTGTATTGGGCATTAGTAGCCTACAGGTGCGTCCGGTTCGAATTTCAGCTTGATTGGAACACCGTTACGTATACTCGCGAAAACAATCGCCTCGGTGTGATTCAACCACACCAGTCAGGATTGCTTATTACTTTACTCGGTTGATAAATTCTGATATTGATTCGGACAAATCCTTTATTATAATATAATTCCTATATTTTGAGTGTTTTTAAACACAACTGTACGAGAATTGGTGGATACATTGTTCATTTCGGCAATCGTTGTTAAAGTGATACTACATTCAAAATTGAACAGAAAATGTCGGACAGCAATTTACCCACTCCATACGTTACAGATAAAGCTCTAAGATCAATTACTTTACTTCTATAAGAATTTATTATCGGAGATATATCATGTCACTGTTGTCACTACAATTGTACCGATATGAGTGAACCATAAAACGCGTGCACAAAAAGCCTAGACATTAAGCTGCAAACTCAAGACACTGTATTTTATGTTTGGATATATTTGATGTTCAACCAAAAAAGTTCTTGTAGCTTTGAAATGTACTTTGTCGAGAGAAGACGTTTCAATATATGTCTAATGAATGTATCAAAAATATATTGAAAATTGTATAATTGAATCACCGTCAAATGTGGTTAACTTTGCTTCATATTTGATATCAAATACTTTAAAATATCCTGTCTTGTCGTTCTCACAGGTCTTCACACCTTTTTGTAATCCTATATCCTCGTTTCCGATCCTTTCCAATCAGAAAACAATTGATCAATTATCTTCATCACATGAAACACTTTGTTTTGAGGTGTGAAGTTAGAATAATGTTTGTATAGAAACGGTTGTCTCCGGCTTTCCAAAAACATTATTCACGATGTGAGTATGTGGGAGTATTGTTTCGCTACTGTATCACTGATGAGCAAATACCTTACAAGTTCTATTTATTGTCACAGCAGGTAGAGTTAGGGACAACCGGCTACGTTTGGTCGCTTTGTAACAAAGAATCCAAAGAAGGCGCTTGTCGAAGAATACAACTGCTGATTCCATTTAATATTCTTGATTTATATTTAATTGAAATACTATTTATTACAAACATAAATAAGTATTAAATGAACTGCATTATTCCACCATGACTCCGAGTCGAACCGCTTCTTCACATAATATGATCTCAGACTAACTCAACAAAAAATCGACTGAAAGCGCTGAACGGTTAAGTTGTTTCTTTTGCATCGCAGATGGATATTATTATTTTAAATTTAGTTGAAATGTTCATTGAATGAAACAAAAATACATATCAAAAGGTGAACCCTACAAAGCGACAATGTCTTCAAGTTAAACTTCTTTTTCACATGCCGTATAATAGATCATTATCTGAAGCTGAAACCCACCTTTCAAACTAAGTGATTTTCTAATTTCTAATTCTCTCATACCCGGTATTGTATCCCGTACAAGATCAGAATGTATTCCATAATTGAAATATTTTAATATTGAAAAACAATTATACCACGTCAGTTTCAACTCAAATTGCAAAAAGAAGTAAGATATAACAAAAGAGTACACAAAAAATATTTAATATCATAATCCAAACCTTAATTCGACCGTTTCTAATCTAATTTAGTAAAAGTTACTCATCCTATAATAGACAATGCAATTTATTGAAATACTTTCAAATACAGAAAAAAAATTAAACTGTATAAATACATTTCATGTAGTATTTATATTCAATTTGTGAAATGAAAATAGTGACGTTTGTTATTGAATTTTCATAACTTCTGTTTATTATTACGACCCCTGGTCGTGTTTCATTAAAAACAACACCAGGAAATTACTAACGCAATGCAATACGAACATGTGCCAGCATATAGAATAAAGAAACTCACAAACCTGTTAAATTAAAGTATGGAGAATATAGAAGTCGAGTTGCCAAAGAATCCAGTAAAATCTATCATCAAATTTAACACTATACATATAAAAGCATGACTTCAATTTTAGATATTTCAAATATTGTTATAAAATTACTTTCTACCGATTCTCACATACTCACTTTCACACAAACCTTATTGCAATAAACTCAACAGCATTTCAAACCAAACATTATAGCATTTGTCTCCGATTTGATAAAAAAATGAATTAAAGAAAATACCACTACTGAATTAAAAGATGGCGTCATCAATCCGATGTAAAATTTAATAAGTTACATATGGTCATGGACAGCATGTCGTCATTTGTTCTAACTTTTATGAAACATATCAGTGAAATAAACTGCATAAAAATTACTCTATGGCAGAATTACAATTATGTAGCAGCAATTGCAAAAAATCTCAAAATTGATTCAATTATACGATAAAAAAAATTATTAAAGTAATATTAACAAATAAAATACATTGTTGAATTTTCTACATCTACACCACATGACACAAATTACATTGTATATAAATTTTGGTATGTATTGTGTTCTTGTTGTTTAAATCTTTATTAAATTACATAAACGGTCCCATAGAAGGCCATCCTATGACTGGCTTAAGAAAATTCTGTGCGTTTGAGCTGAGTATTGAATTTAGTTGTGCGTTTGGCCGCAATGAGGGGTTCGGACTGGTGTTAAATGTCCCTGGGGGAGATGGTCCACCAGACAAAATTGGATTTGAGTGTATCCCTGTCAAACCTGCCATTCGCCCGACCATGGCAGCATTTAATAATGAGTTATAAATTGCTCCTTGGTCGGGGGAAACGGTTGAAAAATTTCCCCGGAGCGCAGAGCTTGAGTTATCATGAGCTCTCATTTGAGAAACGATGTCATCGCTGGTTATTGAATTCTTCATAAATTTGCTTTGATTTGACTCGAAATTATAAATTGCTTTACTATGATATTGTCCATTGTTTTTACGGCGATTCTCGTGGATCGGAGAACTTCCCGATGACACACCGGGACTAGTGCGGTGCAAACTCGGCGGGACGAAAGAACCACCACCGACCTGGTCACTATCCGAACTGGAACGATTAGACTCAGTTCTAGATTCGTGTTTCTTCGATTGTATTGCATGATCATGTGAAGAATTCGATGAACATGAACAGTTTGAATTCCTTCGTCGTTTAAATTGTGAGTTTTCAGATTCCCCGCACGATTTTCGTTTCAAAGGAGGCTCGATTTTGTCTTCCTTTTTGCCAATCAAATTATCAATTGAAAATCCCGACGATTTTGAATGTTCACGAGGTGATGATCCTCGCGGGGAATTCAATTTTAAGCTTTCCAGTGGAGGCGAACTCGTTGAACTATGATTTCTACTGCCGAATATCGAAGAATACATCGGGTGAATAACATTTCCCAGGCTTGGTAAACTTTGAGGTGTACAGTGTGTGGTAGATGACGGTATTATGGATTGAAGAATTGCATTTTGTGCTGATGTTGGGTTCAAACTAGGCAGGTGCGATCCTGTGTTTGGCCCACCAAATCCAAAAATGGCGGCTGCTTGTCTGCTCGCAAGTTGAGAATGATCCAATAAAGGTGGCATCGTCTGGTGTAAGTAAGAATAGGGGTTGAATGCGGCGGCAAATGCAGCAGCTTGGGGTCCCGATAACCCCATTCCATAGGGTCTTCCATATGAAACTGGAACTCCATTTACTGCTGCTGCTATCATGTGATCCCGCAATGGATTTCGACTTTGTCTCTTGAATCGTTTTCTGCGACGTAGAAAAGAGCCGTTGTCAAACATGTCTTCGGCATCTGGATCCATTGTCCAATAGTTCCCTTTGCCGGGATTGCCTGGCTCGCGTGGAACTTTAACAAAACAATCATTCAAAGACAAATTATGTCGGATTGAGTTTTGCCAAGCAGGAAACTTCTCACGATAGTAAGGGAATCTGTTCATAATAAACTCGCAAATGCCGCTGAGAGTCAGTTTTTTATGCGGTGATTGCAATATCGACATTGTTATAAGCGCGATGTACGAATATGGCGGTTTAACCAAATTTTTATCGTCAAGCATATTTGAATCATTGTCATTGATATTTATAGAAATCGGCTCGTCTTTTTCGTCAACAGTGACTTCCTCATCAAAAACATCTTCATCTAAATCTTCTGGTGTTGGATTTGTGGATATTTCTTCAGTCGACGACTCGTCACAAAATTCCATTATTTTCTGTTGTGCCAAAGCAGGTACCGTGTGAGAATTTGACGAGATGCCATATTGATAAAGTTGTGTGCTTTCCGCATCATTCCACGGTTTCGGTTCACTCGTTGTATCAGATTTTCGTAATTTGACTTCATCATTTTTTTCGATTGCTGTTGGGTCTGTAAAAATAAACGATAGTTGTATATTTAGTAATATAATAAAAGTAAAAGTGTTGAAATGCTACTAAAATAGTAGACTACTTTGACTATTATGTATAACTTTAATTTTAACATTAGTGTCGAGAATTGAAAGCCATGGCGTAAAGTCTAGAAGTTATTTTACATACAATTTTCGATGCATTTGAAGGCGCTTCTGAAGTGTGTGTACCAATATGGAGATAACTAATTTCGTTCGCCTACTTTTTTACATCAAGTTGTGTAAAGGTACTGAAACCTTTGGGCATAGGGGGTATATTCACTTGGCTAACACAGACAGACCCAAACTCATAATAGAACTAAAATAAGGAAAATCTGAATTAAATTATTACCTAACGCTGCCCTGGTACACACACTACGGGAGTAGTCATTTAAAATTGATACTGCTCTATAAATTTTGATATATAAACGCGTATAAATGATTACAACTCACCTTTTTCATCGCTCCAAGACATAGATGGCGAAATCTGTTCATATGGTTTACAAACTGGAGCGTATTCTTTGCGAAATTGCATTGCAGCCATTCCTCTTAGTGAATCTATAGCAGAAGGTGTAGAAGAGCGAATTGTAATAGACTTTTCCTTGATGCTGTTACTATCAGAATTAGTGGATATGCATTCTTTTTGTGCTAGATATTGCCTATGAGCCAGAAGTGGATTCCAAATTAAACCTCTTATGTTTGTTTGATTCTCAGCAATTGATGATTCTTCTTGAACTCTAGAGGACGTTTCTGAAGCTTTGTTTCTGCTTATTTCTTCGAAGCATCTTTGTTGTAAAATGTTTTTTGAAACATTGTGTAAATGTGTATTCGAATAAACTTCTTCTTCTTCATAACTGCTGATTGAGGGTCGATTACTCGACGACTGTTCGACACCATTGTCAGACATACTTGCTGAAGTCGGATAATCTTCTGCAGATTTCTTAACAGTCATACTACTATTTACCAACTTTATCTGTCAAGCACTGAAGATAAAATAGTCATGGATTAATCGGAACATCAGATAATAAATGTCCAATTCATTTTTTCTCTCTAATTTCGATTTCATACACAATGGGGGCTGAGTCAAAATCTATAATATTTTATGTTTAACTTGCGTGGCTTTCTCTCTCATTTTTGAAGCTAATGAAATAAACTAATGAATTCTATACCGTTGTTCTCTCATTTAATTTCATATTTATTCTTTACACAGCTTACAATACAAAACATTCAAAAATTGTGAACGCTGAACAATCAAATCCATATGTCTACAACTTTCAATAAATGAAGAAATACGCATAAATATAAACTACATCAAACTTTAAAATATTTCCCATAGCCAAGTATAATATTTTCAGCGAAAACACACATTTTCAAAATTGCAATTGAATAAAATCGACCTTTTACTGAAAAAAAAAAAATACTGCCAATAAATCAATTCCTTGCTGCCATATCTAATACCAATTGGCAAATTCAAGCTACGCAAATACTTTCAAAAAAATAAATCAAATTATTTACTTTACATATTACTTTGCAGGTAAATTTGCTACTGCTAAATATTTGATTTTATCAAAATAAATTCAAACAAAGACAAAAACTGTCGGGAGATCAAAGATTCGATGATAAATATTATTTCAACAAAGACGTCTTTACATTCACAGTTTATTTGCAGAAGGCAGACATAACGGACAAATTCATGTCATCATATAGAATAAATGTTCTAGTCAACCACAGGAGAAGATACGTTTTCGGAACTGACTACAGAATTTTTAACACTCACTAGCAGTCAGAGAATATATTCAATCGCAGCAAATGCACAAATTTGAATGAACAACATCGTACAATTAAATATAGCTCTAAACCGAAACAAGACTCCTCGCTGTTTGCTGATCTGAATACGGTGGTAATATATTTCTTTTATGCAACATTTAATAGTTATAAGACAATGTTGACTAAGCGGCCGCCTTTGATCACGAAACTGAAGCCGTCGCTATGAATTCCCGTATGAATTGGCTTAACGAGGATCGTCAAATCAAAATGGCGACGTTGGTAATGCTTCGCACGCGCGTTCTTCGGAGATTATCTTCACGTGGGCTTGCCAACCGAGTTGTCTAACAAAACTTCACTCAACTACAAGTTTCTTACTTCCGTGATTTTACTTATTTTGCAGATTATCTCTAAGTCAGTAATGATGACACTGTTTGCACCGATCTAGAGGCTTGATCTCTTTGTTTTAACGTTTGTTTTAAACTTATAAGAACCATACAATAGAGACCAAAATGATTTATCCTTTCTGTAAACTTGAACGCACTAGAGAAGGAAGTATACCCTTAGATCAAAGGCAAATGCGGTAAATTCACACACACGGGTATTTCGATCTATCACACCTACAAAACTTTTTTTAAATTTTTCGTTTCACCCCGCATCAAAATCTGTTGATAAGCTGAATTAACCTGAAATAATCTAAACCTGATTTCGAATACTAAAATCGTTTGCACACTGACGTCTTTAACCCCGATAAATGAACCACTACTGGGGCGCCCCAACCGACTTATGCGACGACCAAAAACGAGTAAACCGTCGTCGGCGCAAAACGAGAGCGGCCAATAAATACCTTACGTCATATCTAATGTTGAACTGATATCAAGCAGAATACGACAGACGAGAAAATTATGCCCTTCCGGAATTTTTAAGTATTAGTTTCCTAAATACCGCTATCCCAGTATATTAACTTTAATTATAGTTTCCTGGTATTTGTTAGCTATTGGTCTCCTCAGTAACAGTAGAATAATATTTATTCTCTAAAATTCATTCCGTATACTTTCAAACCCATCATAATATAAAAATTAAAATAAGAAACATGGAAGGTATAAGCTACCTGTCTTGCGAACTACGTAAACTGAGCACAATAAATAGCCGATTCCACTGCACATACCCACTCCGCCTTGTTCTTTCGCCTAATGCGACGTTTTGAATTCTAATTTTGCTTTGGTATTAAACTTGTGTACGCAATGAAATAAACATTTACGCCAATGGGTCGTAAATTTCACTCCATAGCTAAGTCATTACACAGCTACCATAAGTTATGTTGGTGTCGACTGTCTTTCCTGGTGCCCGTCAGACTGAAAATATTTCGCACCGTCGTCAAGGTTGGGAATTTTATAATAGGCAAGACACACTTTTGTTGCAATATAGTTGTCGCTGCCAAGACGACCTAGTCTCTACGGCGCTGTTATGAAGAATAGTTTGTCGCGTGATATAGATTTAATGGCATTCACCATTGAATGTGTTAATCCAAATAATCTACTTTCAAAAGACATGTAATGTGTGGGCTTAAGCTTACTTTGGTTCAAAGTGCATATCAAAGTATTTTCGGATGCATGACAAACATTGTATTCTAATAAATAAGGCTATTACTTATATCAAAGTCGGTATTTTGATGGCGCAAGAAATATTCATCAAAATAGAGTATGTCATGGAACTTTGGATTACACTATTCCAGAGGAAAACTATACGCAACAGAAATGAAATCATTCCTTTATCATTCACATTGTTGTCCTTCGCCAATTCAAACATATTGTAACAATAGTTTTCGATTATTTTTACGTAAATATTTGATTGTAATAAACTCAATTCTTATAATAAAACAAAAGACTTTGTTACATCGACTAACAGCTATCAGCTGGATGTCAATGATATTCTCAGCTTGACTTGTTGAAAAATTGGTCGCAGGTCTCAAACAATCGTATGTTCCATTCATATGTACAGATCAACTCCTACTGTTTTATTGCAAGATCTGAAAGTTCACAGTACATCCGATATTGCGAAAGTATTGTTTGTAATATTGCAGTTTACATTCATATAATGACAGCATTTTGTTGATTGTATCGGGTTGTATTCTCACAACGCAATCGTTTCACCAATTAGTTTTAAAAGTATCCAAAGACGGGAAACTGTTTTACTAATCAATTAGGTACAACTGCACTATTTTAGTAATCTCTTAAATTAAAAAGTAGAATGAAATCGGAAGTTTATGTTCTACACATCCGAGTAACTATATTTTATGTTTGTTGAAATGCATTTTCGAGTTTGATCTCTTTATTTATCATTAGGACAGATATAGAAATATTTCCATTTCAGCAAAGTTTTGTTGGTGCGAAAGGTTTTTCATCCTGTTCAATTAAGCGTTTTTAGTATTGTTCAATATGTGAGTGTCTATTTTTCAAAGGCCTTGGGTATTGCTTACTTCAATATGTTACTCGAAAGTCCGTGATATTTTTGGTTCCGAATTTTTTGACGTTTTGAATGAAAAGCGAAAATCCATGGCACATGAGGTTTTGTACATGTATGTTTGTATATGAATAAGTTTATAACAGCAATGTTTATTTTTGTATTAAAGTGTAGTATCCGTATTTCAACGGTTGCAAGGATCATTTTGGTATGATTAGCCGTATACCAATGACATGTTTTTGTTGTATTAATTTTGAAACTGTCTCTCAGTACAGTGCGGAATTTGAATTTAGGTTTTAAGACTTAGTGTGTAAGCTGCGCTTGATTTCATTTTTTCTTGTTTTGTATTTATACCGAAGCAAATTGATTCTACTACATTTGGTTTTTCATAAAAAACATTCTTATTTGTCAATGAAATGCCCTAAAAGAAACAATCGTGGACAATTTTCGTTTCGTTTCGTTTTGAGTAATTTTGCAGAAGGAACGTCCAGTAAACGCAACTGGTATATGATTATATTTTCATATTTATCCCAGGAGGGAGGAAAGACAACAAGGCGGCCTAATTTTACAATTTTAAAATGAGAACTCGCTCGAGTTACTGTTATGTCATGATAAAGTATCATATAGAATTCATATTAGGTTTGTGAGTAACTTGCGTGAACAACAAACCAGCATGAGTCAGTTTACAACATTTATTGCTTTTGTTTTTATTTTATTATATCTGATAAGATTTATTTTTTAAAGGTTTTCATTTGTGTAAACAGGTGCGAATGAAAGCGTCACATTTCGAACTAACCAATTTTACCATTGTTGCCAACATTAACATTTTTCCAAGCCCAACACCTCGCTTCTTTGTGTCTACTGAGAATCAAAACATCAACGTCCATTCTGTTTCGTTCGATATAATTGATGTCGGTGATACTAAGTACATACTTAATCATTTTGTACTTTGCTGTTTTGTCTTGTTATTTCGATTTTTGAATGAACGAAAGTTCCCACAGGCCTGTATCACAGTCATCAATTAAGATGTAGTCACGGTTTCCCGCGCAGGGATCGTTTGACTTTTTCTTCTTACAATTTTGTCGTCATTAATATTTGATAACTTTTTGTGCATGACAATCCTTTGAAAATGCTGAATTGTTTTTGTTATATTCAAGAATGTAAAGATTGCCCAATATTCTGAAATAATTTCCAAATTTAGAGACAGGAATTTTATTCTTCGTGAAAAAAAATGTTTGTCAAACCCATATAAATTTTACTAAAATGGGTGTGTAAGACCCATAAGGTATTATTTAGCTTAGCGACTGCAACATATACAAACGAATAGTAGATATAACTTTGCCAATAAATTGAAATAGAATTTGTATCCAAAACAAAAGTACATTTCATTTTCCACAAGACATATTCAATAAATCGTAAAACGATAAAGAAAGAGCAAATGAGTATAATAATGAGATGATTCAAGTGATGGATATTCAGATATCTAAATGGCCTCCAATATCATACGTTCGATTACAAAAAGTAGGTTAAAACTAATACCTGATTAAAAAATTATATGACGAATTCTGAACAAACAAGATATGTAGAACAGTTGTTATAAATCACTAATTCGTCATGTTAATGAAATATTGGTTTAGGCTACCTGTGTTTAATGTTTCTATTGACCAACTAAATATTATTGAAACCACCTGTCACTTGATCAAAGAATGGTAATTTCTCGTTTCGGAAAGCGGATAAGTAATACGTTTGCATTTCGTCCACGTTTGAAAGATATTCAAGTTGATACGTTTAGTGATAATTGCCCCCTTGTCTGTTTTGTTGTAAATGTAGCAATAAATAATTATCGATAATAAAAATAAACAGAATTTTAATATGTTTTAATATTACTGCCAATACTTTTATTGTAACTTGTTCTGAGCAACCAGATGCAAATTACCTTGCTATTAGAGCAGTTTCTCGTTTGTATCTTGGTGCATTTGTTGAATATTTG